ACAGGCTGTTATGGTTGGTAGCAGTCATTTCTTTCCAAAGAGTATCTTTCTAAGCAGGCCCACAGTGTGGAAACATGAAGTACATTTATAAATGAGGTCTGGCCATGCCCAAGACAAACATTCAGTCATGAAGGAAAGAGGAAAAGGGAGAGTCATTATATGGAAATGAGAAAAGGACATAAAGTGGGAGTTATTGCTACTCTCTAAGACGTAACTAGGTAACTAAAAAAGAAATCACTGTTGCTAACACAAATCAGTGAGATGTTCCAGTGTTAGTGATGCTGCAGTCACTGGATCACAGGAGGTTTGAGGTTGGCAGGCACCTCTGGAGGCCTTCTGGTCCACCCCACTTGCCTAGGCAAGACCACCAAGACCCAGATGCCCAGGAACATGAGCAGTCCTCCTGTAAACTATGTCTTCTACCTGCTGCCTCTGGAGCTCGAACATAAAGTGGGTTAGATTCTCTGCTGATCAGTCTTACCTGACCTAGTACTCAAGCAAAACAAACAGAAGCAGTAGGCAGACCCGTTTGTCTGAGGTCTTCAAAGTTGCCAATTACTTTAAAGCAACAGTGAGAACATTTTCCTGGTGTCGACAGGGTCATTGTTATGTTTTCAGAAGGGCTATTTTTATACAGTGACTCATGTTAATGTCTGTTCTGATTTGGTGTTTTTCCATCTTCTCTAAAAATGCAGCAAGGCTAATGCAAACCCTGTATAATTTCACTCACTTACGAATTTTACCACCAGGGTAGAGTTTGGCCATAGAGTTGAAAACAGGTGATGACCCCAGTCGCAGTGTAGGTTTCCTCTGGCAAGAAAGCTGACATGGGTAATTCTGCCCCTTCAACTCCACAGCTGTGCTATGTATTCGTTTCTTCATGTTCCTGTTCTCAGTTGTTTCAATGCAGGGTGTTGTGGGGATGGCCCAAGAGAAACTGTTCTTAACATTTGAAAGGAAAAAAAAAAAAAAAAAAGAACAACCTGGAGTTTTTGAGGGTTGTTTGCTTGGGTTCCATTTTTTTTTTTGAGGACACTTTTAAAATTACGCTCTCTTTCCATTTTAGATATCCAGGCTAAGTGCTGTCGTGGCTGTTGTATCAGGGTGGTAGTAAGCTCTGGCTGTAGGTGGGAGAGGAACATCTTAGCCCCTTGAAAAGTGTTTGGATTCACTCGACACTTGAAATAAAAGCATGTGTTCTTAGGTCTTGCAATACTGCCATGGAAGCTAATAATTGTGTTTAATGGATCGTAAGACTTGTTCCTACATGTGTGCCTGTGAAAGGGATGGGGACAGTAGAGCTTAAATCTTTTCTGTTAAAACTGTCTCCTACACAGCAAGGGAAAGGTCTCTTGAACTGACTTGAAATAAGCAAGCCAGGATCTGCCTGGAGAGACTGGCCTCATGCTGTGCTTTCCATCTCACTGAAAGGGTGGAGACTTGCAGATGTCAGGCACTTCACAGTCTCTCCTATTTCTCCCTCTTTGCCTGATATCTCTGCTGAGCTCATGATGTGCTTTGGATGGCACATGACGTGGAACTCATGGTTGGGTGACAGCTCTGGTGTGTAGCTCATACTATGTTTGAGCTGTAGTTACAGCAGATAAAAGATGTAGTTTACAAAAGGACTGTTGATGTTTCTGGGACACCACAGGCTGCTGATGTCCTGCTGCCAGGCCCTTGACTATTGTAGCTTCTGGCATCCCAGCCCTACTGTTTGACACATGGGAACCGGTCAGACAGAGGGTGTATGGGGTCACAAGGAAGAGGGGTGCAAGTATGTTAAGGTTTTCTTGGTAGGAGCAGTCCCAGAGGTTGGAGTTGTTGAAACTGCATTCGTGACTGTTGGTCACCTCTGCAAGGTATTGTCTACCTCTTGCCTGCAGTGGCACATAACTACTGGACAGATGGGTTTGAGAGCTTGGTGAGGCCCGTGTCTGGACAGTGCCCTGTCCACAGGATGTTTATGTCCAACATGTATTTGTTTATAGCTTTTTATTTTAAAAGTCAATTTCTCCTGCTTTTATTTTCAGCTATAATTAGGAAAACAAATCCAAAGGGGAAGGGCTGACAACATTTAAACGTTGACTTTTTATACCAGAGGCCAAGCTGAAAATTTAACACATAATTCTGTCATGATTTTTGCCAACCCAGCCGTAACAGTTAAATAACTTCTTGTGTTTTGATCCTGTGAATTGTATGTGCTTTCTGGATGGTGATATATTTGGTACGCCTTAAATTGAAGGTGGATAGCTGAGAAATCAGCAAAATAGTAACAGAGAATGTTTGCCAACTCTTTCTTAGCAAGTCTCAAAGCATTTCTCTTGGCATTTTTGTTGGATCGTGAAAATACAGTTGAACACTTCTGGTGGGGAGAAGATAAGTCTCACACTTTTAACAGGGACTTGACCCTGCATAGGATCTTTATCTTCCCTGACATCTGGGAGTCATTAAGGCTTAGTACAGCAGACTGAAAAGGCATTGTGGAGTTAGGCACAGCTTGAATTTTTAGCTAAGAAAACTTCTTGATATTATTTGAAAAGGGACTGTTACTTTCAGTTTAAGCAAGTTCCTTTTCTCAATGTGTGAGATCATTTGTCCTTCATTCTTGATAAATCTTTTGGCTGAATGGAAATAGGTTGTCATTGTATTTCCAGAAGCCTTTTGTAAGAAAAATTGATTATGGAGAAATATGAAAAGTTAATCGTACAAGAATGAGAAATGTTAGAACCTGTCATCACATTGCTTTATTTTAGAATGCTAGTATCAGCAGGTCCTGTAAACCTGGAGAAGTACTACTGATCAGCAAGTGCTTTTGTGTAAGTAAATGAGGAAGATAGAGAAAGAAGGGTTAAATTTCTGTTAACAACCCCCTGTTTAAATCACTTACCTTCATTATGTACCTTGTGAAATGAAGCTTGTCGTGGTACCGTGCCTTGGAATTTCACTTGTCTGCTGTTCAACTGGCATTGAATCAATATACAGTCAGTTTGCATTTGGTTATTTGTACAAAAGTAAACTCTGTACTACTTTTCTAGCACTCAACTCATTCATGAGAGGTCAAGGAGAAAATGAAGTTTTATGCCTTTGCCACCACTGACTTGGAGCAATTAGGCTGATAGCCATGAATATGAAAGCTCTTATTTATTGTTCTGTGAGTGCCCAAACAGTTGTTCCTGCCAACGTCTGGATTATCCTGTTGGTTGTTATACACATCTGCACATTCTTGTGAAGTATACTGAAAAAGGAGAAATAATGAAAGAAATGTTTTGAATATTTTATTACATACCACTATCTTTTTCTCCTCAAGTGCTGGCTGAAGTTCAGCTTGTGGTTAATAGCACAACTGGGCACTCATCTGAATACTTATACTACTTGGATTTATTCTTATTTTGACTGCATTTTTTGACTTATCTTTTCCAAAATTAATCCTTAAAACAAACAAAAAAAATAGGAAACAGGGACTGTAGTGAGTTCTGAGCTCACCACTGTGTTAACCCAAAGAGACAGTTCAAAGCTCAACCCCAAAAGATGCCAAGCCCATTACCCTCATGTCAGAATTGAATATGAAGATAAAGTATAAGCTGCTGCTTCTGCTTCTTTGTTGATGCTCTCGTAATTTAGGCTGAATATTTACATGGTGCATTTCAGTTAGTGGAGCATATTTGCCAGAAACTACTGATTTTTTTGGTGAATGACAGCAATTCAATTGATTACACTGGACAGTGCAGGTCAAACTGAATCATGGCATGTGCCTGTCTCTGTTGTTCATACATGCCTTTAAGGATGCATGAGCTTATCCAAACATCTGTAATAAGAGGAGAAGATGAAATAGTTTCTTATCTTGCACACTGTATAGACCAATTTAATTTTGCAGAATGCAGGGTATTTACTGTCCTGATCTCACCGAAAATAGTGCTATATGAAAATTGCTCATGGTGTATGAATGATACTATTCATATGCTTTCATAATTAGCTGAGAAGTGGTCTATTTTAATAAAAAAAATTAAGCACCAGTACAGTCCATCAGTTTTTTCCTCATTGCATGCCCCAGTCACAATTTTAACAGCGCTTGAACTGGTGACTTATACATTATGAAAACCAATATAAAGGTGGAAAGAAATGTATTTTCCTAGCCATAAATTTTTGTAGTTTTTAAAAAAATGTGATACAGTGATCAACTTCAGCCACTTTCCCATCCTTCCACGCAGCACAATTGTATTTTCCTGCCATTTCTCTGTGTTGGTGCAAAAAATTGTGGCTGGCAAGGCCTCACCAGGCTGAATAGTTTTCTGACGTGCAAGGGTAGATCCACATCACATCAGCAAACTGCTGCTCTCTCTGTATGGCTGCATATTGTTGATGCAAAGCAGGGAACAGTAACACATGACCATGTACCACGAAAGCAGTGGGAATGCCCTGTGCAGTCTGGCTTTAAATGTCAGTTTTCCCCTCACTTGTAAATTGTCACTTCTTTGAGCAGACCATGTCCACGATGGCATGGTACGGCAGTGGGTTGTGTTGGAGTTGTAGGGTGCTTGTTGTAAGAGCAAATGGTACCCTTTCATTTGGTGGTTGTGGTGTTAGTGTGCTGGCCATGTTCTGCATCAGCAGAGTGCCTTGGAGGACAAACTGGGTGACTAAATAATCCTGTACTTTCCCTCTAAGGTTTCGCCCGTATCTCATGTCATCATTAGCACCTTTACCTCTTGGTGGGTAAGTGGCTTGATGCTCAGTCACTGCCACTGACAAGGTCAGCCTCCATCAAAAAATACCTTGAGACTGGAGCTGATGTTTCTTTCCTTTTCAAATGACAAAATATATGTATGATACTGTGCTGCTTCTGGTTCTGGATAAAAAGAGATTAAGATGTTGGTGTTTGGAACTTGTTAAACTACTGCCATGCAAGACCACCAAACTGACAGCAACTCTTAAATAGTATGACAATAGAAGCAAATGTTATTCAATAAATCTTTGCCTTTTTTTTCCCCTTTCTACAGGAATATTTTTACCCGAAATACTTGGGTGAGTTGCAGCTTTTACTTTTACTTTGTGGCAGTGATGGTATGTGATGCCTAACACTGGAGCTTGTCACAGCTGAAGTCTCTGCTAAGAAACGTGATGGAAATCTTATTGCAATAAACATGCATTGCTAACTTTAGAGTGTATGTTCCTTATAGTACTTTGAGGTGTGTTTTTTTATTTACGTGTACATTTGCATATAGAGATATTCTATATGTTTTCTGCATGTTAAAATCTTGATATTGTGTATGTATCTGTGGCTTGCAGTGTTGTTAAGTAATTTGTAGTTTTCTACCTTTTTCCCTTTTTAATTAACTTAGTTATTAACTAATCTCTGTATCCAAAGAAAAGTGCCTTTACTTATTGAACCACTGACTTATTTTATTGACTGTATCATAGTCATGGTGTGAAAAGAATCTTTGTACTTTTTAGGTATTTTAAGAGATTTAGTTGGTCAAATTTGAGTAGCTGCTATCATAGTTTTAGAATTGTAGTAGCATCTGGCTAAATTATCATCCTCTTCAAATGTTTTATAACAGCTGTACATCAAAGCTAAAAAAAATTAATGAACTTAAGAACTCTAAGGCATCTGGGAGTTTATAATATTGCATCGATTTTGTATCCACCTTCCAAATTCTTGTAGTCCAGGTATCATTTTACATGCTTTGAAGCTCTGTCCTGTCATCATTATAAAAATAATGATTTCATTTTCTGTTCTTCAGCTTGTATTCAGAAATATGGATCGCCGTATACAAGAAGTCCAGATTTCCTTACATGCGTTCATAGTAAGCATTTTTGGTTTGTAAATTTTAGTTAAATGTTCTCTCATTCTGTCTGAAGGTCTGGGACTAGCTCAGCCATCTCCATTTTTGATAGCATTTCATACTGGTCTTCCTATTCTCTAGGCTTGAGACTCCATATCACCAGAAAATCTTTTCCATTTATAACCTAAAGCCATCTTGCTGTCATGCTTTAGTGCTTTGGTATTTTATGATGCAAGTTTCTTTCCCACCAGTTTCCCAAGGTCTGAATAAACTGAGAGGGAAGAGGGACAAGAAATAGGATGTACGTAAGGTTGTACACTATGCTTGGCCTTTCATTTTCTATTCTCTTGAATGCTGGCTTTGGCTCACTCAATTAAGGAACATTAGGAAAAGCTTAAAGGCAAACAGGCTCCTGATAGCCTTCCTTACATTAAGGAGGTCAGTTTCGTGTATCATGTGACTGTGCTTTAAATATTGCAACCTTTAAAAACTCAAATCAATTTGAAAGTCAAACTGATAACTTTGTAGAGGGTGAAGGGAACTCTTCTAATACATTTCTAGTTGCCTCTTGAGGCTTAGCAGTGCTAAAGGTGAAAGACTGCATAAGTATTCTAAATATGCCTTGGGAGCAGCACAAATGGGGAGAAAGATCACGTGTATGTATGTATTTATGTTTATTTTCTTGTTACTCCCGTGTTTCAGTCTTTTACTGTGATCGAGTTTGATTAGTCGTGTGTTCATACCAGTACTACCAAAGCAGGATTGGGATTTAGTCAACCTTTCACGTTTATGAACTGCATTGCAGCAACCTTTTATAAGAGTGAATTCCAAGGTTGGTAAGTGGTATGTGAAGAATTGCCCTCATATCACTTATGGATGTTAGCAGTATCACTTATGGATGTTAAGAGTCCTCTGAACTGGGAATTCTTGGACCTGTGGTATCTGTGTGAGCTGCAGTGTGCCAGCTAGTTCAAAGTGGGATATGAAGCTGAATGCTTACTTTTACCTGTGTGTGTAGCATGGCAGAGGCAGAAGTTTTTGATGAAAATGGTTGTATCAACTGGGAGCGTTTGTTCCAAACATCTAAACAGTGTTTTGGGAATGCAAGTCTAAAAGTTGGCAATGAAAAAATCTGAAAAAATAAAAGCTGAATAATTGTTTTTAGGGCTCTCTGCCCATTGCATAAGCAGTGGTTTGGAAAGAAAACGATAATATTTTCCCCCATTAAAATATTAAAAGATTTTTAAATGGCTGAGTTTTGGCTAGCCATTGTTGATTCACAGGAGAAGTAACAGAAAGGAGCCTGAAATGCACTTGGAAGAATGACAGGCTTTGTGCTTAGCCAGTTCCAGTGTGCCTCTTAATTTTTCACAGATGTTGCCAAAAGACTGTGTAGCTCTATGGGTTTGTGCCTGCAAGATGCTTTTTAATTTTGTTCCTTAACAGCCTTCTCCCCTCAAAACAAAGCTCTTCTAGTGGAAGGCTCTTTTAACCTGGTGCACAAAGATGTCGCACAGCCTAAGGGCTGGAGGGTGATCTACACTAGTTTATACTAGGAATAAGGTAGAAATTTGAACTATGTGAGGATTCCTATTTCATAAGCTCTTCAGATAAGGTTTCAGCTCTGGATTCAGAGTTAGATGCAGGTGTTTCCAGCACAGGTGCCTACATGAGCAGTATTCCCTTCATAGTCAGCGGAGAGTTAATCTCCTCTGGTTCTAGAGGGATTCCACCAACCAAATTGTGTCAGCGCTGGGGAGACCTGAATCCATGTATGGACTGTTTATTTACTGTCTCCAGTTACTGCAGTGAGTATTTACAATTGCTTTGCAGATAGATGTTTACTTTACACACAGATACCTGTACTCTGGTCTGCAGATCTGGGTCTTTTTCTAAAAAAGATCCCGCAGGTCAGCTAGGAATTAAGGATTTGGGTCTGCAAGACTTTGGAAAATTGTACAGGATTTTTTGGAAATGAGGTTTCATGTGGCCTTAAAAAACAGAATGAGATTTTTGTTATATCACACATGCCTGCTTTTCAATAGTGACTGTCATAATCTTCGCAACCTAACATTTCCTTATGAAGTATTACTATGCACCATTTTGTGAATATCAAAAAATAAGTTCATAGCATGGAGTGATGAATTGGAAATGGCAGTAAGCAGACATAAGTAAAGGCTTGTTTCCATACAAGACTTCAAAAGTGGAACTAGTAGTTCTATTCTCTGTCTGCACTTATGAGCTACCTATGTGCTATCAGACACAGCTCAAAGCACACAAAAAGGTCATGCTCGTCATTACTTTGAACAGCTTTACTAAATCTGTTGTGTAAATGAATGGAAACAAAAGCTCCATTTTCTTTTGCAATTGCTTAAATCAGGAGCACCTTTTATGAAGTTGGCGGAATTATACAGCTATGAAGCTACCAGAGGAGTGTAAGACTGTGTCTTGTGTTCTCAACCTCTCATGATAAGAGGGAGCAAATTATCAGCACTGTGTTGATGTGATAGAAACATCCTTGGTTGCTTCTGCCATTTACCATAGGGTGCAACAGCTTAGTATTCTGCTGAGCAGTGTTACTACCATCTGGCTCTGCAAGGCACATCAGATTCCAGTTTGAGGGAAAGAATCAGAAACTTGTGGATACACCAGATAAGTCATGCATAGCCCTGTTGACTTGTCTGGTTTATCAAGAGACTTTGAAAACACTTCCATGTCTGGGAAGCTTGGTTTGTGCAGCTCCAAAAAAAAAAAAAGACTTGGCTTACTGTACCTAAACCATTCTGTTTACTGTACACACATTCTGGTCTGTCTAGGAAAAGAAACATCCTGGTCAGACCTACTCTGTCATAGCTCATTGCTGCCTAAACATGGCTTTTCCCTCCCCAACTCCTCCACCTGTGTGTCAGCTGGGCAGTGATTCACCAGGAGGGTTCTGGCAGGTGGATGTTAAGACAGCCCACGTAGCTGTGTTTTCTTTTGTATGGCATGACCTCTGCTTTGGCTGGGGCTTTGCCCCGACTCTGCACATCAGGAGTGGAGAGGAATAAAGATAATTAGGCCTTGTTTATAGTGAGAGGATGGTTATTTCTGTGAGGCTTTTGGGATTGTGTACCCATGCTTTTCCAGTCTAGTTTTCCCAGGCACTAGCTTCTGAGCATCAAGGTGAAGTACTGAAAGTGGGCATTTCTTTGACCAAGTCAGACTCCTTTCCCTATCAGTCCTCTGGCTTTGTCCTCCCTTGCCCACAGGGAACACCTTACTGAGGCTCAGGATAAATGTCTGTCTTCTCAATGGCAGCACTGATGGTAATTAAGTGATAGCTACAACTCATTTTTTTCATGGGAACAAGGATATTCTTTCATCCTTCCTTTAGTTACCTCTGTGAAGCACTGTCCCAGTGTGTTTTAGAATCATAGAATCATAGAATTAACTGGGTTGGAAGAGACCTCTGAGATCATCAAGTCCAACCCTTGATCCAACCCCACTGTGATTACCAGATCATGGCACTCAGTGCCACATCCAGCCTCATCTTAAAAATCTCCAGGGACAGTGAATCCACCACCTCTCTGGGCAGGCCATTCCAATGCCTGATAGGTGGGCAGGTGAATTTAGACAGGTAATTTCCATTTGCTGAGTACTTAGATAATAGTTTGAGATTTTTTCCTCCAATTCTCCCCAAAGAGTGGTGACTACTCTCTTTCTGCTTTCTAATGGGAAAACTCATTGCCAGGTATTGGAACTTTGCTTAAAAACCCCCATAGGATCATTGTGCTCTCTGTAAACTGCATCAGTGGTTTTCTATTCCTTTGCTGTTAACTCACAGGTATTCCTTTTTTATTCTCATTCTACATAATAGAAAAGCTCTGACAAAAAATTCAGATATAAACATTTGCTACCTGCAAATCTATCAGCTCTGGTAAGATCATCAGTTGAACTACCAAAAGTACTTGAAAAGAGTACCCATGCTTTCCTGAGTATTGCATTGATACTGCTTTTTGTTTTCTCCAAAACTAGGGAGAGTAGAATTAACTTTCTGAAAAATGAGCTACTTTGAGTTGTTTCTTTCAGGATGTGCCCTTCAGATAAGGGGAATGGTAGCTCACCCTCTTTTGCAAGGAAATTAATTCCACTGCATGTGCTCTGCAAAAGTCCTGGCACAGCTTGTTTGGCGTGTGAGCACTAAGAATTAGCTTCCAGTTTTGCCAGGTGTGAGTATTTCTGATTGATTCTCCATTACTGTTTAAGCATCCCATCTTCCAATGAGAGTGAAATACCTCCTTGTCAGTCACTTCAATGCATTGTTCTGTTTTGTTTTGGCTTTTTTATTCCTTATGTAAATCAGATTTGCCAAACCAGTGTTCTCCTGATCCTTGTTACAAAGAGGGGACCGTCAAATGTGAGGATCTCAAGGGGGACTTCTATTGTGAATGCAAGCGTGGCTGGCAGGGAAAAACATGTGAAAAAGGTAATTTGGTTTCATTGTCTTTTATACTTGTAACAAAGATGTTCTGGGTTTTGCTGCATTCTCAAATGGTCATAGATACTGTACTGCACAATTTAAAAGTCACAGAACTGAACCTGGATTACACAGAGCTCGTGTTTTTACCCTTCTTTGAATCAGGTAATTTTTTCACATCAATATTTTTACTTTAATGGAGCTCAGCTTGATCTTGGCAAGGTAATCTAAGAAGTTATGCTCTGACTTTCTGTCCCACCCTTCTGAAAGGGGCAGCAGAAACAGAGTTGTAGTGGCTTTTCAAGCAGAACTGCAGCAGGTGCTGCTGTGAACCCTGGTGTAACAGATCACAGACTGCAGAGCCAGAGAATCTGGCCCACCTGCCCTCTAGCATCCCTGCTGTGGGAACAATGACTTTCAGTTGGGAAGTTGGAGTCTGAGCCTGATGATACACAAACTGATAAAATTAGTCTGTTAAAGCCTCCGTGCTAGTAGGACCTTATTCCACGTCTACTTAATCCTGCATATCCCAGGGTATATTTCCATCACCTGCAAAGAGAATATTCAGGCAACCTATTTGTGCAAGGAGTGCCAGGTACCCACAGGGCTTTCTCTACAAGTTATCTTCCCCCCTCCTGTTTTCTGGTTTCTTTTATTTTGCCCTTCTGCCTGCAAGGTTTCCTTACAGGTAAGGAATGGTCGGAAGTCACATTCAGCCAGTCCAGAATTGTGGCAACCAAGATAGCAAGAGATACAAAACCTTTCCTTCTCATGTAAATATTGTGGTGAGATTGTAGGGTCGCTCACAAGGAGGATATTTAGGCAATTCAGAAAGCAGACCAATCAGTAATTCAGTCAGCTTTGAGAGCTCAGACAATGATCAGTCTGAAATACATTCCCTTATTTTCCTATAAAATTCAGTGACATGTGATGGTCTCCTCATCAGCTAACTCTAGAGTCCCATAGATAAGCAGGACATAATGAGCAGGTAGGGCAGGTCAAGGGTGAAATCAAGGCTCTGGGATTTTATTGGCTTTTTCTGCCAACTTCAGTGGGGCACACAGTGCTCAGTAGCTGTGAACTTAAAACTTTCGGTGTTCTCATGAGTTCTGTAATAGTAAGAATATAGTGTTCTTCTTTTATTTAAAGATTTCGTCCTGATCTTACTGGACATAGTATGATTTTAAAAGTTAGTTATAATATAAAATGCATTATAATTAGTTTGCTTCTGCAAATGAACTTCTTCACCTCCACAGTGACTAAAGATACTCTTATGCATTCTCAGAGCTGTGAAGGAGATAGTTACAGTGCCTTTTTTCTTTTTTTTTTTTTTTTTTTTTTTTTAATTAAACAAACGAGCTAATGTGCTTGAAGTATATGAATGAAATCTTTGTGCTTTTTGTAATCATTGTGTTGCAGTTGTAATACTGTTTCTCCTTGGGTCTTTCTCCTTCCCAATGCCTATTCCACTCTCACCCTCCAGATTATTCACAGAGGCGAAAAGCTGACTGTAACACTTTATTTTGATGTAGATATTGACGAATGCAGAACGCAGAACGGCGGCTGTAGCCAGGTCTGTCTCAACAAGCTAGGCAGCTACCGTTGCTCATGCAACAGTGGTTACACTCTTAAAGACAGCAAAACATGTGAAGGTAAGCTTTGCTGGGACTCTCGGTTTGCTTCAGGGGATGCTTAGTGACTTATGCCTGCATTTTGGAGAGCTGGGTTGCCCTGAGCAGTCCTGGTCTGCTCCCTAGCCCACCAGAAACTTGCTGGTAGCTCCTGTTGGCTGTACTCCACTGGAGTGTACTCCACTCCATTGTGCTGGATGCTCCAGCCAGCCTACACGCCTGGGCTTGTCAGCATTTGAACCATGATGCTGTCAGTATCGTAACACAGGCGTGATTCACGGAGGATCTGTGGCTTGGATTGTGCTAAATTGGTTTAGCCGATCAGTCCTCATATCCTGACACCGAGAGGAGGAAGTGCTGGCCAAATGCATTGTTATGATTCTTTCCAGTCTCACGGTGCTGTAGTATATGAGCCATTTGTTTCTCTTGTGTGTGTTTCTTATTTTATTTTTCTAAATTTGGGTATGTGCAGCAGCTAATGAATTCAGACAGATACAGATGGCTAAATTCACTGCAACTGAATATTAATACATGTAGAAAGGCCCTAGTGAAAGTTGGCAGATATAGCAGCTGAGAACAGAAAGTGAGGATCTGAAATATCTGATTGAAACTTTAGAATGAATTTACATAACCAAAACTTAAGCAACTGAGATTTCAGAAGTGTTAAGAAAACTGCATGCTGAGACAAAGACTCATTAATGATTACAGTGATTATTAAAGTTATGTGTATCTCATAAAAAATGGTAAGTCTGTGTATATACCTCTTAGAGATGGATGTGACAACATATTTCTAAACAACTTGCATACCTGATCTGAACAACGTATTAATGCTACCAGCAAAAAGACAAAGAGCAAGAATTTATTTCCATGTCACTTCCACTGTAAAGGTGATTGTATAGGTTACATAAGTATCCCTTAGAAGCCACTTAGAAGAGCCAACTTCACTTTTGAATTGTCCTCTTGTGCCAGTTGACAGGGACAGATGAATGGTGAGGGTGCTTACATAAACATTTGTTTTCATATTTATGTATATTTATGTATATGTATATTATGTATATGTATATTTGTTTCATACCCTGGTACTGTCACTGAGGGCACTGCCAGCAGTACTAAAAAAGCATTCCTTAGCTTCAGCGTGTGACCCTGCAGTTGCTGAGGTTGCTGTCAGGTGTGGTTATTGCTAGTTCAGATTTATCATTGCATTTTGGCTTTCTTTCATGTTTATTCCTGTCATCATGTGTGCACACACAAAAGTTTCCTTTTATCTTAATTTGTAGACTAGGCTACATGGGGTGCTAGATAGACCCTCAGCCAGTTCACTCATACATGGGAAAATCAACAAGTGTAATGTGTAGTTGTAGTTTTAACACATAGTAGAAAGCAAACATAAATATTAAACTCTGAGTATACTGCAAATGTTTTGTCAACACCAAGATTTTGCTGGGTATTAGTTAACATGTTAGGAAAACACTTTTGTGTTTTTATGGACCTCCAGTTCATTGCGTGCCTTCATGGTGAAACCCCAGAACATCTCTCAGACATGACTTGTTCTCTCTGACAAAATGGGGAGCTTCTATTCTCCTTTGCCACTACAGATCAGCAGATGTAGATCTTAATTTTACTAAATGTGTGAAAAATTATTGTTTGCCTGTCTGAGGACAGAGAACAGAAATGTGTGATGTGCCACAGACTGCATCTCCCTTCAGTGTTTTGGTAACCTTCATGCTGCTGTTACTCAGTTCTTACCTGTTGCTTTTTTTAACCTGCAGTTTCAGCCCCCCTGAGTGAAGGGATTGTGGCTTTTTGGTTTTCTGGGAGTTTTGTTTTACAGTTTTTCTTCTGGCTTACTTTGTTTGTTTTTTTCCAGTAGTGGCTAATGGCTTTAAGAAAGAAAGTCCAACTGGTTTTGAAAACCTGAAGTCACTTCTTATAGCTAGCTACCCCTAAAGGTAGATTCTTAAAGATACTGTTTTTTCAGTTTCCAAAATAATTTCTTGACTCTAAGCCTACTCCAGTATATGAATAGTGGTTATACTCCTCTCATGTTGTTCAATTACTTGTTTTGCAGACATAGATGAATGTGCAGCATCAGCAGACATCTGTGGAGAAGCTCACTGTAAAAATTTAATAAGCTCGTACGAATGTCTCTGTGACCCAGGCTACAAGTACGATGACGTGAAAAAAACTTGTCAGGGTAAGCTCATGAAATAATATCATGTTAGCATTTACTACATAATTTAAAGCTGTAATCCCCCCGACATTTAGTTTCAGGCTTCAGTAAAAGCATTTGTTCTTTTTCTTTTCTTTTTTTTTTTTAATTTTGCTTACACACTGGACTTCTGTTCCCTTTCTCTAGTTGGGAGTGAGTTTGCAGATTTCAGTCACCTCTGAGTTCATTGAGCTTGCAGTGATCTTTGAGTTCATAGAATTTACAGTTGTCTTGGAGTTCACTGAGTTTGCTGTCAACTTTGATGACTTGAGTCAAGCTGTACAAGCCAGAGTACTGAGATTTCTTGAATTCATGACAAGTGCAAGATCTGGTGAAAGCTCAGAAGCATCTGTGCATATTGCTGTCTCCCTTCATAGGACAAGAAAAGTTAACACAGCAGTAGCTGTTGTTTTTTTAGAACCTGTCTTGTGGTATTACTCTGAACTATGAGCTTAATATGTGTTTTAACCATGCACAGTTCTGCTGGCTTCACTGCCTGCAAGCTTTCTCAATGGAGTAAGCTTTGAAAGTATTCCAAAACTAGCACTGTTCCCTGTCTTTTGTCTAAGTTAATATACTGACTCAAATCACATGCCAGCCGGTCCTGCTGAGCTCTAAGTCTTTACCTCTGCCTGAAGAGATCCCTGTGGACTGTCAGAATTTGTTTTCCTGCAATTGTTTGTGAAGTAGATAAAAAGAAGCCAAAGGAAAAAATAAAAGGGGAAGAAAAGAATGCGAAACTCAGCTCTTATTTGCAGTCCCTGAGCTGAAGAATCAGGAGCCAGTCAGCACAGGCGTAGCAGAAGGGGCCTGAAGGGAGGAAGTATTGTCTAGAAGTTAAAGCCCAGGGCTCTGCTCCAGCTGCTTCCAGCCTTCCCACTGATTTGGGCAGCTGGAATCTGTCTGTGAAAATAGCTTGTGCAGATGCTAATTCTAACTCTTCTCTCCTGTAAAGATGTGGCATAGGGTACGTACTGGCCACAGAGCACTTGGACATGCTTAAGGCAAAGGTGCTATGAAACAGCACTAATAACGCTTCTCTGCCCGCAGTGATTCATGTTTTAACAAACTCACTGTTTTCTCCTCTCTTCTTTGCTGGTTTTATGTAGATATAGATGAGTGTGAAGAAAAGCTCTGTGAACAGACCTGTGTCAACTCACCAGGGAGTTATACCTGTCATTGTGATGGCAGAGGGGGAGTGAAACTTTCCCGGGATATGAATACATGTGAGGTACGTCAGTGTTCATTGCTGTAACTGCAGAACAGACCTTTTCTTTACATTGCAATTAAGATGAAGCTCTGGACTAAAGTCATTTGAGCCAAGCAAGCAGCAGGAGGGAATCGTGTTGGCAAAGTTGCGTGGGCTGGGGACAGTAGCTCTCCTGAAAAGAAATTTTCTCCTGAAAGTCTCTCTTTTCCAGCTCCTCCTGTCCCAGTTCCAGTGATAGCCCTCTGTTTGACTATGAGTTACCTTGTCTGCACAAGCTTTTCTGAGTTAGATCCGCTAGGTTGGTGCAAAGGTCTAAGGGCCTGTGGTGTAAGTTGTGAACCATCGCTTGCATTTGACACTTTTGTCCTCCAGGCATTTGAGGTGGATGGGCTTCAGTGGCACAGGCTGCCTCTGTGGTAACCAACCAACAGCAAGTTCTTAGCACATCTTTTGTTGCAGGCACAGTGCAGTAAAAAACCTCATGCTGTACCTTGATTTCATAATGGAACAGGAAGACATTCCTCCAGGGCAGATAGTAGGGGGAGGAAAGGAAAGAGGAAATGTTCTCTGTACAAATGTATTTTGAGAGAATAAACGTTACAGTGCACTAACCTGCTGTATATATTGTATTAATTAATGATAACCTGCCCTCATTTCAAGTTTGTACAACACCTCTTAGTGTGAAAAAAACAAATCCTATTTCTGAGAAAGAGCAGCATACAATGGTTTCAACATTTCAGTTGGCATATTTGTAAAAGGCAGCAAGAAGTACAAATGTCCAACAAGTCTCTGAACATATTTATAATTATATTGAGTCCCTGGTTTTATTGTCCAGATGATTTTCTTCATCTTCTTTCACCAGTCAATATGAATTTCAATGAGTGCTGTCTTTATATGTATAGCAACTACATGAGAAAAGAAGTGGAGACCTACTCTTTGATTCTCTTTCTGCTCTCTGAGGAGAATAAGCACTCAAAAAATGTGTTTTGATTGTAGAACATCATACCATGTGTGCCTTTTGCTGTTGGAAGAAGTGTTAAATCCTTGTACCTGGGGAGGATGTTCAGTGGCACTCCTGTTATCAGGCTGCGCTTCAAAAGGAAACAACTGACAAGGTGAGGACAATTTAGAATGACAGTCAAATGCTCTGATTGGCTTTGATGCATGCAGGGGTGTTAAGTTGTTACAATTACAATTAGTCCTACATTCACCATTATTTGCTTGGATTATGGAGTCTTGTAAGGCAAAACATTATCCAAACCAGTAACTGAGAAAGGCAGCCTTGACCACAGAGCTGTTAGGATAATTACTGAAGTATAGTATTGTATTCTTTATTCTTTATGCTATTTTAAAACCTGTCTTCACAGCTTAAGTCTTTCAGGAATGCATTAAAAGCTAGTATGTTTTAACAGAGCTTTGTAGCTGCTAAAATTGATGCTATCTGTATGGAAAGTACTCTGTGGTTTTTGAACTCTGCATAACTAATTTATTTCTTGGCACCTGTGTGGTCAGACTTGTGGCTGAGTTCGACTTTAGAACCTTTGATCCTGAAGGTATCCTTTTCTTTGCTGGAGGCCATCAAGACAGCACATGGATAGTCTTGGCATTGCGCAAAGGACGGCTAGAGCTGCAGCTGAAATACAACGGCATAGGGCGTGTGACGAGCACTGGACCACTTATCAACCATGGCATGTGGCAAACGGTGAGTCCAGGCCACGGCTGAGGTCCAGCTGCTTCACGGCTTGTTCAGGATGGGCTCTGCCAAGTGCAGACAGACTTTGTGTATTCTTGAGATGCTTTTCCAACCTATCTATCCATTCAGTGCATACAAGTATGTTATACATTCTAAGGTGAGAATGGGATGTTCTTCTTAACAAATCAAATTATACTCTATATCCATTCTAATAGAGACTGCATCACTGATTTGCACAACCAGAGCAACCGTTTGCACAAACGGTGTCTTTGAAATACAGCAGTGCCAAGCTGACTTTATGTCAGGTTGAGAAGATGCCATCTGGGTGAGGGTTGGAAGGAGTAAGAGGGAAGGAACTTTGTCTGTTCTTTTAAGGAAATTTCCAAGTGCGTTTGGTGTATGGGGGATGTGTGGTTGCTTTTGTTCATTCACTCATTTGTTTAGTCACAGGGCTCAGACTATCTGAGGCCTTGACAAATGTCTTATGCTACAGTATCCTTTTTGTAAAGTCTTCAAGCTTGTTTACATACAAAATAGACCATTTCCCTTGTAAAGATATTGGAGGCTGCTACAGGATCATAGAATTATCAAGGTTGAAAGAGACTTTTGAGATCATCACGTCCAATGATCAACCCAGCACAATCACTATAACCCCTAAAATACTCTGTTTACTAACAACATAATCCCAGCAATCTCTTGAGTTTGTAAGAATTGTAAGGATTCATGTTCTTCTTGATGCGCTTGCAGAACATTGCCTGGTGATTTTGGAAGCATTATGGTCATTACAGTTTGTGACATGATCATGAAAAACATCTTGTAGTGTGATCTACAGTAGATGAGCAATTTATATATGCTCTCTCTCTCTTCTGAATTTTCCTCTCCTTTCCTTTTTTCTTGCTTAATTAGTTCTTTTAAGTTGGTGTGTTCCTCTTGGGGAGTGGGCGGGAATTTCTCAGCTAACGCGCGTTTGAGACAAATGCAGATATTGGTAACTGTGAATCATTTTCTGATTTACATTTTTTAGTATATAAGAATTATACATGAAAGAAATAAGCAAGGTGTGAAAAATTTTGTTTCTGATGCATAAATAAAGAAGACCTTGCATGGTGTCACTGTCAACTATTGACATTTGGTAATGTTTCCAACAGTTCCATTACTGTCAGTGAAACAATTTTAGATTCCAAATGAAGAGCTGTAGAGGTTCAGTGAAGTTGTAGATAAAATGTATGACATGCTGTATCTTTACATGTAGGAATAGCCTCAAGCCAACTCTTACTGAATTTTATGGTAAAATTTCTAATGGTTCTGCTAATTTGAAATATGACGGTTCTAATTTTCTGCAAAGAGAGGATGGTGACGGAAGATGTGAAAAGCAGAGTGGATGCCACTGGCTGACTTGGGAGTCACAAAAATCAGCAGTTACCAAGCTAATCCATTTAACACCACAGCATAACATACTTGTTAAGTACCATGAAATAATTACAAACTATCCAATGTTTGTAATTATTAGTTAGTTCGAGGGGACACAGTTGAAATGCATTTGCCTTCTTCAGGGAGAGAAGGCAGTATGATAAAAGTAAGCATCATATTTAGGCAAGAATTATTTGCCTCCTGCCAGCCACCAGTGTCAGGGCTCTTATCCCAGGGTATCATCCTAACCAAGAAATTGCCTGGCTAAGTTGCTAAAGCAACACACATTGCACATTTTCTGAGAGGTTGTATAAATCCCCTTGAAATCCCTCCCCAAGGCTCTTTGGGACAGTACAGACCTAGCTGTGGGTGCCACGTGGTGCAGGTGGACAGGACCCACACTGACCAAGGGGTCAGCCAGCAGTTCTGCCCTGCATGTGAGTTGAGCAGGGCCAGGCAGCTGCCAGAGATGCAGCATGGCATGATTGGAGGAGAGAGCACCACGCACTGCTGGCACAGGAATGCTTGCCTGGAGCAGGTCAATGGCCACAGTTCTGGCAACTGTCTCCCAAAGTGAAATTGCTTGGTATGGTCAAAGGCAGAGGGATCCACCCACAGATGAACAGCAGCAGGAGGAAGGAGCCTTAGGTCTCTTGACTTCACGATTGACTCGCCTCTGAGTCTTGGGACCCTGCTTGCACTGTTGGAGTGCTGTTGATTTCTCCTTTCTCTGCCCTATTTTCTTATTCCTTGCCTTCACCTTAGAGGTACTTGGTTTTCTTCTGCTTAACATCCAGTGTCACCCATTTCTAAATGCCATTTAATCTATATGGCTGAGTGATACAACATATGTTCCTCCATTTTATCCTCTCTCTCTTTTCTCCTTGGTATGGTTTTTAATTTAGGAAATCCTGTCAAGGAGGGGTTATACCTTTTTGTCCATCTCCTTTTATAAAACATGTAGCCACACTTTTCATTTTAAGTATGGATTCATGTGTACTTTTCGACCTCAGCTTCTGCAAAGCTCAACCCCAAAAATGTTCAGAGGTCACAGTCCAGACTCAAATGCAATTTGGGAGTTTTAGTCTGGGCTTCAGTTTGCACAGAATCAAGCCCTTAGTTTTGGTTAGACCTTAAACAGAGGAGTTTGGATACTTGGGAGAACTTTATAGGGCTTATAAGAAAATACTAATTTTACTATGCAACTTTCAGCAGATGAAAAAACAATGGATATTTAAAGGCAAAACATATGAAAAAGCACCAGCAGTGTATGACTTCTGGCCAGTTGAGCAAATGCTGCCTACTTTTATGGAAATATGATGGTATTTTCAAAACTTCAGGCCAATATTTCTACCTAGGTATTTTCTCTGATGTTGATCCCTACTAAGCTATTTTTAAATGAGCATTGAACCAGCATTGAGAACACAAACAAGCAAGCCTCAGAAAAGACTTCTAATGTAGTTATTTCTGTGTAATCCATCTGGATGAAGTGGCACGTATGAAGTGATGATAGTAGAGGACACACTCGCCTTCTGTTTGTTTTGCATTTCCAAAAACAGTCATCATTTTGTCTTCCTTTCAATATTCAGTTTAGTACCGCTCTGAAGACACAGTATGGTTAGCAAAAATAATAACTTAACTACACTGTTAAATGTCAGGACTGAGGGTTGAGCAATCGGAAGCAGATTCTTATTTGGCTTTAACCCTGCGTCTGGCTGTAGCTCTGTCCCTTTTCAGAGCTGTCCACTCACTTTTCAGCAAAGAGCAGACAGGCTGGCTACGAGCTATCCCAGGCATGAATCCAAAACACAAAGCTGACTGCCCTTATGGCTAACCATATGGAAACCCTTTTCTTTGAGAACTGCCTGCCTGAATGTCCCTGAGCACGCTGTGGCAGGCAGCGACTACAGGAGGGAATTGAAGCAGGATGCTAACTACTGAAATGCTTCCCCTTTTGGTTTGTAGGTGATGGTGGTGCACCAGCAATTATGCTCTGAATTTAAGGAACAGGAGCTTAAACAGCCAGAGGGCATTGTGAAGTAGGCAGAATGTAATTTCCCAAACTGGAATTTATTAAGACTTTTGACAGGGATTAACCCCTCCTCCTATGGAAGTTTTCACTGATTTGGGTTTACTTGTATTAATGATCAGAAGCAGCAAAGAACTCTGAATAATTTTTATTATTATTATTTCTATGTCATTACTTGCTATATAATATAATAAAATTTTAGAAGGCCCTAAATTTTGGTGGCCCTGCAAGTAGCAGGATTTCTTCACATAGTAAGAACAGTATGGGCACTACTGCAGACAGTTTTTCCTCATTCCCTTTTGCTCTGTGGCTGCCCAGTCTGTGCTAGAACAGGGACACAGTCTGTGCCAGTTCCTGTGGCACTCCATACTCTGGTGCATTAGGGCAGTGGTGACCATGACACCGAGCAGAGGCGTCCGAGTGAGTTTTTAGCTGGATAGCCTGTGTAGCTCATCCAGTTGGGTGGCTGCCAGGACCTGTGGGCTTATGTTCCCACTGATTGGACTTTACAGCCTCCCAGTGCCCAAAAAAACCTGTTTGAGACTGGCTTGTGTGTCTCCATGGAATGCAGTCAGGAGGTGTAGATGCCACTTTAAACAAGCAAGCTTCAGACAAATATGTTCACATCCTGTAAGATATGGCACAGAGCAACACACCAGGTGTAAACAGTGTTCTAGCAGTATAAACCAGACTCCGCTGGAATTCACAAGAGAAGAAAAAAGGTTGATCAGAAGAGAAAAGTCTGTGAGTCATCTTTTCAACTATCAAATTCACTAAATCTTCATTTCTGAAGACTGAGGTCCAAAAGGAGTGTCCAGGTGTAAATCTGCTCGGCGCTGTCCTCCTTTGTGTAACAGCCACAGAGCAAGACTCAGCATGGCTGATAAGAGCAGTTTTGGGACAGCTACGCAAAATGCAAAGAGAAGGATGCTCAGGACCTGGCCTGCTAGCAGGGAGGGGGAAGAACAAGTCTAAACAGCCTCACAAATAGATAATTGGTTCTATACAGTGGCTCACGGGGAGCATCTGGGTGTCCCAGAAAACAGAGCTGTATGGATGAAGAGTGAGTAGGTGGAGTATCTGTCATACAGTGGGAAGAAGGTTATGAAATAGTGGAGGTGCACTCCTTTCTCCCTCTCTGCTAGAAGATTGGGTTGTCTTCTGCTACAGCCTATTGGTAGCAGGACCCAGGTCCCTGGGCAGCAGAATCTCTGCTGCTCTTCAGCAGCCTGGTGCATTATCTTTGTGCTTTGCCTCCTTTTCTCCCTCTACAGAAATGGTTGTTTTATTGTGCCTCTTTGTGCAGCCTGGTCATAATGAAAATTATAACATTTTTTTGAAGTTTCAGTGATAATAGATTTTTCTTAGAAGTAGCTCTTTAGAGACACGGAGGGAAAACTTGCAGAGGCTTTTTTGAGGGAAAAGCTATTACCTACTACACATTTTTATTACCCTCTCAGAAATCACATCATCTGCTGTTCTTTTTGCAGGGGTCAGTATTCAAAAACTGTGTCTGGAAGGCCTTCTGCATTATATTCCACTGGTCCAACAAAAGCCATCTTGTCTGTCTTTCCAGATTTTCTTTTCACATGCAGTTGCAATAAGAAGTTTCTCATTAATAACTCGTTATTGCATTTACATTTTGCATAGAGCAACCTACATATGTCATGTAATCATTCCACTCATGTTTTTCTATAGCTGTTTTAAAGTAGCTGGACTGTCTTCACTGTTAGGGTAGCTGCAGGTTGCTTTCTAGAGTAAAGATTTACATATCAAGGCGGAATGTATTTTAAAAGGCAGACAAGGAGGCTTGGGGACAGAAATGATTTCTCTGTCTTGGGGATTTCACTGGTGGGGTCTGTCCTGTAGCTGAGGCTGCAGATATTAAGTTCTTTTCATACTGAATTACTCAATTTGGAATTTTATTTTTTCAGATCTCTGTTGAAGAACTCGAAAGAAATTTGATTTTAAAGGTCAACAGGGATGCAGTTATGAAAATAGCCGTCTCAGGGGATCTGTTTACTCTAGACAAAGGAGTGTATCAGCTGAATTTGACAGTAGGAGGTATTCCTTTCAAAACAAAGGACCTTATTCTACCCGTAAGTATAGCATGATCCCTCATGCTGCTTTGTATGACGGAAGGGCTTGATTTTGTCTTTCCTGAGAGCAGTTCAACCTGCCCTGAAACAGGTGGAATTGTCACCTTCTGGATGCAGCTTTCTCTCCGTTAACTATAGCAGGAGCCTAAGCTAGTAGCAAAAGTGAGACTCTTGATTTTTTGATTGGTAGGTTTGGGTGAGATGCATCCCACCTGTAGAGATAGGGCACAGCAAAACAGGAGCACATGACAAAATTCACTGCGGTCCTGTGGGCTTGGAGAGCATGAGTGGCCCGGGGTGGGGGCAGTCAGTGAGCACATCTCTTAGTGAAGGTGCCACTGTGCCTACTAAGTCTGGAAACAATGTCAGGGGCACTTTTTATATTGTGATCAAAGTTTGTGCTTCACGTATATTGTGTCACAATTTTGCTGCTTCTGTTTGCTGTTTCAGTTTAGCGAGACCTGAGGAAAAACAGTTGCTTTTTTTAATTTATTTCCTCCTAATTCAAGTAGATAGGGCATATGAATAAAAGTTAAGGCACTCCTTTGGGTGAGATTAGATGATTGCTGCATTTCTGAAATAGCTGCTTCTCAGGCTAGTTTGAATGTCTGCCACACACAGAGTTGGCACCTTGAAACCCTAATTTGCATCTCTTTATTTGTAAATGAGGTGACAAGCTTGTGGCTTGTGACTGGGAGTATAGCAGCTGAGGAAGGCTCCTGTGCTTCACAAGAAGTTATTCAGGGTCACTGCTTGTCTGAAACAGTAAAGTCAGGGTGTGGCCTGAATCTAGGATTGAGAGCCAAAAACTCCTCAGGTTTTTATCCTGGCTGAGACACTTAATTCTCTCTCTCCTTCAGTTAATTGGGAGTAATGGTGCTGATTTAGAGGCTTTGCAAGGAGCCTTCTCTTTACATACTGTGTCACATTTTAATACTGACATTTCATACAGGGTAGCCTAACTAGAAGCTGGAAGGCACAAGGTGTGTGCAGAGTGGTGTGCCTGTCTTGTGGCTCAGACACCCCTCCTTAATGCAGAACTTAAAAACATACCGTGATCAGGTCTAAGGTCTGTCTTGTGTGTCACGCAGGCTGTTTGCAATGACACAAAGGACTGGGGTTTTTAACTTCCAGTTGGCCTCCAGCATTCACAATGCAGAATTATGGGAGTTACAGAGCTTTGGTGATAGAGCTTTAGAAATAAGCTGCTCTGATGATGTGCATCATAGGGAAGGTTACAGAAACAATACAACCAAATCAGCACCTGCACTAGCTAGTGTCCTTCTGTTCTGTGGAGACAAGCTGATCTCAGGGGAGTTTCCTGGGGAATACTAACCGCTCACTTGGGGTTGCAGGATTGAGATTGCTGCCGATTTGTTTGCATAACACGTGAAAATTATCCCTCCTATTTCGTATTGTAGGATCACTCAGTATTCCTCTGCACCCAGTTCTTCTTCACTGAATGGTAGCTTGAGGCGTGAGATACTGCTTTATCTTCCTAGAT